TTTTTCAAATTTTCCATAATATTGCAATACTTACAGGTACAGAAACATCAGAATGTTTTAAACTTTGTCAAGAACAGTCATTTCAATTATTAAACAAATACACATACAAGAAAGTTATGCAGATCCTACTTTCATACTGATTATAATAAATGGTTCTTGAAACAGATTTTTTTCCTGTAAGATCTTTGGAACTTGTTTTTCAATTTTCAGAAGCAGACCATCTATGATTTTGTTCAAATAATACTACCATTCTCCTTATTACAGAAAATGGACATAAGATAGATGCTAAGAAAATATCGTTCTGTGACCTATTAGCATCATCATATTCCAAGCTTAGAAGCTACTTCTTCCTTATCACTCATTTTTGGTATTAAATATTTCAAACCTAGCATAAGTCAAAGAAAAAATGGCATCGTGTCATGAAACTTTACATCAGACTCAAATCTCATGTGTCTCCTCAAATTTCCAGTGTTCCCAGCCAATGACCAGCTTCATCCACCTCAGCTTCCTGCATCAGACATCTTTTCCAAGGACTTCATGTCCTGCTGCCCAGAGCGGGCCACTCTCTTGTTCTTGGCGTGTTGGTTACTGCCTCTGTCCTCTTCTTGTGGAATGAGGCAGACTGGCTGCACTCTGGAGTTTCTGGCTTTTCCTGCCACTTCCAGATTCGGATGTAACTAGCCATTATGTATAGATTTGGTAGCCAAGATCGACTCCTTGAAGCTGGATGAGTCCTCCAGAAGACTGTCTTAATAACTTAAGGGTGAGCTTTCACCAGTGGGAAGTGGGAAGAGACGGAAGGAGTGACAAATGTGTTCCTATCCTTTTTCCTTCCTGAAGGCTACTCTGAGACATCATTTCTCTTTCCAAAATATCTTGTGAACTGGTCACTCATGCCATATGGCTGTCTCTCTCTAGCTCCCAGATCATCGTACACAGTAGCCAGCATGTATGCCTAGGCATGCACTAGCGTACAGCCTTCCTAACACAGATCCTGATTTCCTCACCCTTACTGTCCTGGCAGCCCAAAGTATGAGGTATGGTCGAAAAATGCTCAAATTTTTAAAAAAATGTATTTCCCTTAAAGACACATTGTCAACAACCCTACTCAGTAACTCCCCTTTGCTTCAAACACACTTGTCCCATTGCTACTGCCACCTTCTGAAGCGGTTCTGGACGTCCTCTTTGCGTGTGCCTCTAGCGGCTCTGTCATGGCTATTTCCAGGTCCTGAACCAATTAAATGGTCATTTTTACTTTGTGGGAGAGCCAGAGGTCACACAATGCGAGATCCATTGAAATCAATAAGCAGATGAGTACATCTGCACAGTTTAAAGTTTTTTAAGTTATGATGGGTAACGACATTCAGGTTTGGTGGATCTTTTTCAAAAAAAACATTCTCTCTTAGTGTTTCTGTTTACACGATAACACAGTATCTCTCACATTAGGAGCCCTATGTTTTAAAATATTTATGGGTGTTAATCAGGCCCATAAAAAGTAAAGTAAATTCTTCTTTCCTCTACAGACAAAAATCTGAAGTCCTAGTTAATAATGTTTACTGAAGATGGGATGTGCATACATGAAGTTCACAGAATTCCTGGAAGAAAATAAACATGAAATTTATGATCTATGAAAGGAGCGGGAACACATTATGGGAGTCTTGGGATTGATGGAAGGCATGCAGAATAAACAGCCATAGCATAAAAATTCTGAACATCTGAGTCACTGAAATCCTTTAACTGCCTGAAGGTAGAGCCTCCCAAAGAACTCAATCACCCTAAACCCCTCCTGGAGACAACTCTAATCGCCTGCTCTCAGAGACAAGAGGCAGGACCACACTCAGTCTCACAAAACTATCTCCCATCTAGGCTCCCAATGGTTCACTTATCATTCCAGAAACTCATTTGTTTTCTTAGAAATGCTCCTGTGCTCTACCCTATGCCCTATTTAAGGAAGTCTAAAATCCCCATTTTTTACAGCATTCCCAACTCACATTTTTCTGAGAACTCATAGACACATAAATGCATGAAAATCTGATTTTTCTTTTACTAATTCATCATTTGCTGGTTTAATTTGCAGGGCCCTAAACACTAAAGACAACAAACAAGTAGAGAAAATTTTTTTCCTCCCTGACATGGGCAAGACAAAGTATTTGCTCCTTGGCCATCAAAACACCACTGACATACTAACATGTATGATTCCTTGACCTTCTGCAAACTATCCTCACCAATTTAGTTGAAAACCTTTAAGAAAATGTGAATCAAAATTATCTTAACCATTATAAACATAACTGGAATTATATCTTATTGGTCACAATAAAATAATTTAGTTATGAAAAGCAAGTGTTTCGTGCAGAAATAAACTAGACACTGAAGCAACACACGAAGCAGCTTATTTTCCTTGCCTAACAGCGACACTTCATTTCTTAACTAAGATACAGCTATCCTCGATGCTCCATTTTGAAGCCAGTTATTCAAGTAATTTACTCGCCCCCAGAATCTATCACAGAAGCAGAATATCAGTGAACATCAATGACATCTCACCCCAAACTTTCATACTGTTCTGCTTTTTCTGTTTGCTAGGTCATAAGGAACCTGTTGCTTTTTCAAGCTATTCTGGTTCTAAGGAAACCTGACCGGTGAAAATCCCTAGCTTTTCCTCTAGCCAGTAGTGCAGTAAAAGTAATACATACATTCACAAAGTTTTCTCTCACTGTGCCTAGAGTAAATGAGTCAAGCTGTGGTGCCTTCAGCCAAGCACGTAACAGGCCTGGATACCCTACCTGCAACATGACCACTGGAGTCCCTTCAATTCTCATGTCTTGGGAGTCCTGGAATGTCATCTAGACGGGGAAAGTAACGTCTAACTAGTGGCAGAATCTGCCACTAGTTTTCATAGTGAGTTGTAACCTTATTTTACAGTGATATTTCTTAAAAAACTTACGATATGAGGTGCTACCTGATATCCACATTAGCCACCCAGTAATGCTTTCAGATATGACAAGGAGCTCTATCTTGCTAAGGATGTCTACTATTATAGTATTTATAGGTATTAACAGACCCAGATGTCACCAATGTGTAGGTATCTCTTTCCCAGCTTCTGTCACCAATGTCCTGAGTGTTGGGCAAAGATGTCATCAGGAAGGTGACTGTGAGGTTACTCTCTTCACAACACAGGAGACATTTAGGAAATAATTTGGAGGTGTAATTATCCAGGCCCTCTCCTTAGTAAGCTTTCATGAATTCCATGCTTGAGTAAAGGTAAATACTTTCAAAGTTATTTCACTATGTCCAGAAGAAATGAGGCATTCACCCCGACTGCCATGGAGAGACCTAAACAGAAATGGGCCATATTGGTATAGTCACCCAGATAATAGGAGCTTAAGAAAAATATAAACATTTCCTCCAGGAATGCGAGAGAGTAAAAAATGCTATTTCCCAAATGTGATTCTCACAATCACACCTAAGGTATTTGAATGATTATATGACATTTCAATGTTTGCAGGGCTCAGAACAAACTGCTCACTGTACGTGAAAAATTCCCATCTGTCCAAGAAGCGTCATTCAGTCGCGTACAAAACATCAACTTCCGTCATGACTCTCAACTTACTTTACAGAGTCAAATGTTGTTTCCAGAAAATAATGTGTATATGTGTGTGTACGTGTGTGTGTGTGTGTGTGTGTACACACGTGTTTGTGTGTATGAGGGAAGAATGAAATCTGTCCATGTTGTCAACCAAGATAGTTGTACATCCAAATCCATAATATTCTTTGGGAATGCTGGTGCATTAGTATAAAATTTGTAGAAGGATTGCATTTCTGGAGTTTGGGTCAGGCAGCCCCAAGTTGAATCAGAGAAGTGGAGGGCCACACTATGTCTGGGAACCACTGAGACATTACTGGGAGGAAATAATAATGCTGAGAGAGACAACTACCTCCTCCCTGCGGAAAATGAGGAAGTAAGGTCCCTCTCTGTTGGCCAGTAGTTTGGCTGAGAAGTATGTGACTCTCACAATGCACAGCTCTGCTCCTTTGCTTTTTCCTCAACACCGAGGTGTGAACAAAGCCTACTGGCCAAGGGAGGGCCCCTGTCCCAGATTCCTACCTGATTATTTCTGTCACCTTCTAGAACTTCAAAGCTGGGAGAAGTCACAAGAGTGGAAGAGAACTTGCAAAATCTAGGGGCCACTGTAAACTTACTTCCTTGCCTCACCCTGTACTGTTGTTTGTGACAACTGTGACCTGGACATTATAAACAGAAGACTTGGATCTGCTGGTGGATTTTATGTCCTGGAAGAAGATGTATTCCTCTCTACCAGATGCTCCCTCTGAAGTATTTCATGGCTAAGGGCGATGTTCTCGTTGATATTATAATGACCTGATTGATTTTGTTCAGACTACTTGAGACAAAAGGTCATTGTCCTCATAAAGCTTAGAAATCATTTCTGTGGCATAGCCAAATGTATTTCTTCCTCCCAAAATAATACCAAAAGGCAAACACGAAGTCCAAGGATAGCAGCTTAGACGCTGGGCTGATAAGGTGTAAAGTAATGTGGGAAGCAACCAGCCCTCACCACAGTTCTCTGCACATAGTACATGTTCGATCCAAAGCACTTCCCAGGTCACTTACTAATGTACCGGTTCTCCTTCACAGGAAGATGGAACATAGGTCCCTAGTTTTACAGGAAGAAGTTGCCTTGAGCAAGAGATTTGTAAAACGAGAAATGGTAGTATTTAAACAAGCGTGAAGGCATCATGACAGAAATGACAGGGGTGTGGCTGAGTGTCTGATGGCGCTGAGGCTCTGTAACCACAAATACTGCAAACTGCGTAACCGTGCAGAAGTCTGAGTGGTAAGGATCTCGCCCTAGCATCTGCGACTATCCCATGCCCACCCCCGTGCAAGGTTTCATGCATTCAGCCACAAGAGAAAACATGAAAGAAGGTGAGAAAGTTAGTTAAATAGTTTAATCAGAGCAGTTTTACAATTCTAAAATTAACAAGCAGACTTGTAATAAAAGAGCTCCAATGTTTGCAAAATGATCTTGCTTCCATTCTGAATCTGTCTTTTTAATTGTAAAGATTAGCATTACACTTAAAAGGACTCAAAATGGAAAAAAAAAAGGGGGGGGGAGTGACTGATACTATCATCCATGTCTTGTGATGAGCCTGATGAAATCCCTGAATGGATATTGCTTCAGCTTTGATACCCAAAAATGGCCTGATGCAAAGTTCTGAATCAACACCTGATCACAGATGGCCGAAAGAAAGAGGGAGCCCGACACTACTGTCAAGTTCAGAATGTACCACGTTGTTGGCGGATGACACTGGCTCCACATATACAGTTAAGCCCACAACACTTTTTTACTATGAGTACAATTATCATGGAAGGTCTTTCATGTTGGTCAACTTGCTTCTGAAGGTTTTCTTGGTTCAATTAAACTTGCATAATCAACATGCAATGAGTTATTTCTTTTGAAAGTGTGTTGTTGTTGTTGTTGTTTTGCAGTCTTTGTGTTTTCATACAAAGATTTCATACAGTTGCACTGTTGCATCAGAGCGTCACCAAAGTAAGAGCAGGAGTAGAAGGGGAAGGTAAATCTGGATAACTGAATAAGAAGGGCCTCCTTCCCTCCTGAGACACAACACCCATCTTCGAAAAAAAGGTGCGAACAAACGGCTTTTCTTACCCTCCCCCACCAATAAAGGAAAAAACTCACAAAATCAATCTACTAAGGAAAAATAGGTGGACATAAAGAAAATAAAGATGTATTTTCATGCACGTATCTTCTGCATAGCTCAACCCACATATAGTAAGGCACTATTTCCTTTCATGACTGGTGTCCACAGCAATCTTTTAAGTGCTAGCGTGCTCCGTGACCCTTAGACAGTTCCTTTTGGGATGGCGAAATAAAGAAACCGAGCGAGTGTGGCTGCCGCTCTTCGAGGTGAAGGTCCCTCGGCTCAGGGAGATCTCCAGGACCCTCAGAAGAAACTGTCCACGTGTGGTATGCCAGAGAGTACCTGCAACGGTTTTCTTCCCAGAGCTCCCATTTTGCTTGTGTACGAAGTTAGATTATTCTTCCGTCTTTATTTCTCAAAGAAAATACAAGAGGTGGGGGGAAACAGTCAGGTCAAAACAGTCAGGACTTCACAGTTTTCATTCCGATGCTCCCAGAAGCACAGGAGGCTGGCAATCCATACGATCGGCCAGATGTTTCTGAGAGCAGAGGGGCTGAGGTGGGAGACGGACAGAGAGACGGGGAGCGGGGAGAAGGTAAAGAGGGAGAGATGGGGAGAGAGTCAGTTTTGGTTTTTAGAGGTCATACGGGTATGAGTTTAATTTAGCTGGTCTTCATACTGTTTCCGGAAACAATCTCCTGCCGGAAAGAATTCCCAGCATCTTTCTTGGTACATTTTCCAGACATAGGATTCCTGTAATAGCAAAGAAAGTGTATTAACATTGTCCTCAAGATTAGTGTGCTAACCCAAAATGTAAGACAGAAACCTGCTTTGCTGTATAACCCCACGTGTAATTGGCAAAATCAAAATTCATTTAGTTTCAAACTATACGGGGCCATAGTTACTTCTATTAACCAAATACTCAATCTTTACCTTGACTACAATGTTCATGATAAAAATATACTTATGGTACATTTCTGAGGGTTCTGCAACACTATCATTACTCTTATTCATTACATCTTTCTTTAAGTTCAGTCTATTAACAATTTACGATAAGCAGCCGTGGAAGGGGAATCACAAAAAGCTTAAAAACTTAGACAATATTTAGTCATTTGAAAAAAAATGTTTAATCATTTGTGGCTGACCTTAATGCGGTGAATTGAAGTTCATTTGAAATCACCTGCCTTCTGATTAAGCAATCTGGGACATCATAACTAACACTCGATTTTCTCATACAGGAGATTCAAAATGCAAACCCAATATTTTCAGATAATAAAAGCTTATTTTGACATGAGAAATTAGAATATTTTCAAGGCAGGCGATCTTTTTTACACTCATCCAAGAAATCAGGGATTTTCTATCAAGATTTCACAACTACTATATGAAAGCAATTCCTCCCCCTTGCATGTTCCAGTGTGTAGCCTTCTGAAGATGCCATTTAGTCCCCATTTGCCTACCTGTCCTGTGTGTTCTGTTTCATCTTTGTTGATGAGGTACATCAGAAAAAATCTATAGACACAGAGAAAATGATCAGGAATGCATTTGGTGGAGTTACCAGTATAAACTGATAGGAAACACTACTATATGTCTTATGTGTATGAGGCACAGAGAAAATACCACAAAAAATTTTTTGAAAATTAATTACGGTGAGCCGGGGATTTAGCTCAGTGGTTCTGCCGCCTGCCTTGCAAGCGCAAGGTCCTGAGTTTGATCCCCAGTAAAACAAAAAATTAATTATAGTGTACAAGAAAGAGAAGGATAGTTTCACACTTGATCTTTCTTACCTAATGCATACTTTTCCCCTATACAGACTCTGGCTACAGGTTAAAAATATATACACTTTTGTCAGAATGAAATCAACACTGATGAATTTTAAATGAAGACTAGCTTAACATGATGTTCCAATTTACCAATCAGTTCAAATGAATATAGCTTCATCAATTTTTCATTTTTCAAATTTTTTTGGTACTGGGGATTGAACTCGGGACCTTGCGCTTGTGAAGCAGGCAGTGGAACCATGGAGCTAAATCCCCAGCCCACTCCATCAATTCTTTGCCTTCAATGCTACTCTGCATCTCATCTTTTTGATATTCAAACTGAATCAGAAACTAAGACCAGCATCACATCAAACAACACTAATGGCCAGATATCTAGGTACTAAACAAGATTCAACTTTTAAGTGGGTTTCCAATAGTGCTTAAAGAAACTTACACGTACTCAGGAAGAAGAAAAAAAAAAAAGAGTTCTGTTTGAAATGGGGATTAAAATGGGAAATGTGACCAAGACTTCCTGAGAGTATACCCCACCCACCCCAATTTCACGTCAAGTGAACCACTGCAGGCTGGTCTTTCTCTCAAAGCTTCTGAGCAATAGTAAAGGACAGGCAGCAGCCTCTCCTGCCTGTTTGGATTCCTGAGAGGAGGGGCAGCTGGGATCCCAGCTAAGGCCGGCAAGTCTGACGCCAGCACTCACAGGTAATTTGCCAGGTTATGCTCCTGCAAAGTGTGGGTTTCGAAACCATGTGGCACTGTGTCAAAGTAATCGTTGCCTATCCCACAGATGAAGCATTTGGTCTGGAAGACAAAGGGAAATATTTAAATGTCAGAGAGCACAAAAAGAAAAACAAAACACAAAAACAGTATTTATCTGTTAGAGGCAGCTTATTTGACTTACTCGACATATGTCAAACATTATCACACGGAGACAAGGCCAAGCCCTTGAATATAAATCTAATTGAGGGCCAGCTATACCTTGACGTTAGTTTAAATGACACAGGCACCAGCAGTAAGAAAGAAAAGATGCAGACAGTACAGGGGGGAAAAAAGAGCAAGGTTTATGCCTTATTTTCTGCAGCCTATTTGCAAAAGTCCACCCTTAGAAATTACTCATTCATACACTGGCTAGTTATCCAGGCAGGATTAACTGTATTCTCAACTGAAACTGCAAACTTGGCATCTTTCCAAATAGCCTGGTGCAGACAGGGAACAGTACAAATGGTTTCTCTAGGAGAAGACTGAGCAAAAGCCAAGTTATGAGGAATTCTACCAACGACCAACTGAGCGGGGGCCGGCCGGGGATGAGGCACTGCGCTCGGCACAGTGTTAACTAATGGAAACATCCAGAAACCAGATGCCTGGTTCTCTTTCTTTCCCCACCTGAAGGCCGCCCCTCTCTCCATACAGACTTCAGAGCAATCCCTGCTTAGGTCTGTTACTTGCAGGCCCAGTCCACCACCTAAGAGGGCATTCCTCCATTTAGGGTCAGAACTGTAGAATTAAGAGTGAATATTTCTCGGCTCAAATGAATTCAATGATTACTTTCCTCCTGCAATGCACATGCCCCTCTTTCCTTGCCATTCAGAGGCTGTTTCATTCCATTTGAAGTATGTTTAAGATGCTGTGGATTTTGGAACCTAGAATAAAGACGATCCTGGTGCAGAAAATTCATCCTGCCTTACTGATCAACATCCACCTGCAGCACATTCAGCAGCTGGGGAACAATCAGGTCTCGCTACCACTCCATGGACATCTCTTCAACCAAACAGGTTCCAATCACACCACCAGCTTCCTCTGAGCCACCATCCACCCATCTGGTGACTCCTGCCTGAAGCATCAAGACTCTACCTGTCCCATCCTCTTCACCCTCTGCAACTCCAATGACCAAGTTCTTTTCATTCCAGCTCCCACATACACTTCACAGCCCTTCCCCTCCTCTCCGCACAACGGCAGGCCCATCTTCGGCAAAAGCTAGTTCATAATCTCTACCTGCAAAATGCCTACAGTCTCCTTCCCTGCCAATATCTAGTCCAGTCCCATATTTTAATCCTACAGCCACCTTTTCAAAATGCAAATAGTATCACCTGGTGCCCCACTTAAAACACTTGTCTTGCTTCCCACAGCCTGAACATCAAACTGTAAATTCTTCAGATGAGTGATCAGGCTCTTCATTTGCTGGCCTTCTTCTCCAGCTCCAACACTAGAGTTTAATGATTCATCCAGAAAAATTTCTGCTTCTAAGAAAAAAAGGATTCCTACCAAGTGCCCTAAAATCATAGTCTTGGTGACATTCTCTCAGAATTCACTGTGACTGGTATACGTGAAGGTGAGCATGGCAGGCAGGAGCAGGCAGGGAAAGAGAGGCAGCCTCAACCATCCTGCTCTCTCCTTCTCAAACCTACATCTCCACAACCTTCAGGCCTTGGCTCAGCACACCTTCTAGGAAGCTCCCTGACCATTGAGCAAGCAGCAGACACCAACTCTAGGGACCCCACCTCTCAGAGACGATCCCCTCCAAGGGCTCAGCATGCTGCCCTGTGATCATCTGTGCCCTTAGTCACTTTAATCTGCAGTTCTGGATGGATCGCCTTCCTACTTCCTGAGCGCCAGGGTGGTATCATATTGCTGGTCGCCTGCACTTGGGAGTCCACTTTGGTTCCAGCCTAGCACACTGCCTACACACATGGACTGCCTGAGTCAAAGGCCAATGAAACTACCCACGACCTGTGTCCTTGTTTCCCACATCCATGAGTTTCTTGATGAAGGCAGTGAGGGAGATGGGCACCCAGAGCAACACAGCTGAGTCACAGACAGTGACTTACCTCCATATCTTCCTTGACTTGTTCCTGTTGGTCTCTTAGCTCTCCAAAAGCATCAATAATTAAACCTATGGTTAAACACAGACCTAATTTAATATTTATCTACTGAAGAATGTTGACTAAATTCATAGTCTCTTGGCTCTTCCTTTCAAGGAAAGAGAAAGCCTATAGGGCTGGGGATTTAGCTCAGTGGCTCTGCTGCCTACTTTGCAAGCACAAGGACCCAAGTTCTATCCCCAGTATCAAACAAACAAACAAACAAACATAAAACAAAGAGAAAGCCTACAATTACACTGGAAGATACTCAAAGAATGGCAGACATGTGTGTCCACATCCCATACTCCACTAGCTAAGCAACTCTATCTTTGGGGACAGAAGTACACACAGCTGTGAGGGCAGATACTCACTAACTCACTTTATTTTTTGTGCCATTTGTGATTGAACCCAGGACCACTGCACTGAGCTACATCCTCAGTCCGTCCTTCTTTCCTTCCTTGTTTCCCTCTTCCCCACCTTTCCTTCCGAGACAGGATTTCACTAAATTACTAAATTGCCCAAGCTGAGCTTGAAATGTGTGATAGTCCTGCCTTAGCCTCCCACAGCAGTGGTATTAGAGGGGTGCACCACCAAGCACAGTTTGAAAAGCATTTTAAAATGAAGTGACAGACCAAGAAAATCTGGCAGTTGATTTTGCACATCCACATGATATGTTAGTACTTGCTTCATGCCAAAACACAGAAATTCCAGTTCATAGCTGTGCAATCCAGAATACCCCACCAAGAATATCTTCAGGTATTAATTTGGAAACACAACATTCCCATATAAACCATGTAAATTTGCCTGAGGTCACTTTTTCCTTAAAGTCTTCATAAGCTCAGCGTAGTTTTATTAAGAGCAGTAACTAGAAACCATATTTGAATTGCAGTGTTTCTACCTCTTCTGCCTCCTGTGATTTACTGGGTGCACCCTTCACTCCAAGTGTTTTATGACTACACCCTCTTAAAAAACACATTCTTTTTATGCTCAATAATAACACAGCACAAAGATTATGAGTCCTTTAATGCCATTCATGTGCTTTACCAAGAAAACTAGATCATTTCATGACTGGGACCTAAAGGATAAAGTCACATTTACAAACATTTAATACGAGACAGAATAAATGTGCTCAATGTGGGGGGGCACCCATGACTGAATTTCCTAAAAGAGAAAAATACCATACTCCAAGTCAGCGCAGAGTGGAAGGAAGAATTAATGTGCCTGACTGCTATGAAATCTCCGAATCCAGATGCTCAGCCCAGATATAATTCCAACCCGACAATGAATAGCCATGCACTTTAGCAAAGTTGCTCAGACTTACAAGGCTCAGTTACCTTCCATGTCCCACACTGTCGTCACAGTGCTGGTGAGAGGGTAAAGGGAGTGAACACACATGGCTTGGCCCACTGTGAATGGTCAACGATGCTGCCTGTGTGATTGCTAATGTTGTGCTGATCACGTATCAGGATCCATGTTGTACACTGAACAAATGTCATTTTTTGAAAACTTCCAATAAAGAGAGCTTAGAGATTTACATAGCCGCCATTGGGTAGACTCACAAGCCTAAATGGTTTATCTCTATCCCCAAAACTCATAAAGCTAGCAAGTGGCCAAGATGCAATGTGAACTGAGGAATGTATATAGTAAGTCCCTGACTTACAAATGAGTTCTGTTCTGGGAGAACATTCATAAACTGGATTCGCTGGTATATTTGACAAAGCGAGTCTTACACACCTTTGATACAAATACACAATGTAAAGCATTAAAAAAATTGAAAACATACACATACACACACCCACAAACAGAAGGAGCGACTTGTGATGGCTTGTATACAGCTGTCCCCTGAAAGCCTTGTGTGGCCCTACATGGGGCTTTTCAGAGGTGGCTGGATCTAATAAGGATGATGGTGGGGTAAAGGGTGTGTCAGCCTGGCTGTGGGAGGCACCACCCAAAAGTGGGTAGAGCGGATGGATACAAGTGAAGAGAAAGACAGCCGGCCAGTTACTGCTGCTGTCGCTTGCTGTTTACTGCCTGCCCTGCCTACCATAGACTATTTTTCCTCTGTGATGGCCCTCTGCCATTCCACCCTGCCTTGCAGCCAGCCAATTATGGATGAAACCTCCACGAACTGTGAGCCAAAATAAACCCTTCCTCCTTTAACTCTGAGTGTCCAGTTTTGTCTCAGCAATGAGAAAAGTAACTAAGCCAGAAGCCTACTGTCTTTTCACTTTGGTCTAATCTCTCACTTATTTTCACTTTTGTGTCTGTGGTCATTGCTTTGCTCTTCCTAGCATCCCCTCCACATCACCACTGCTCTTCCTCTGGCTTCTAGACAGCCCGGGCTCTGACTGAGCGCTGGAGTACTGCACACCGGGGCACTGTGCAGTAAGCACACGGCAGCACAGCTGTGACAAAGTCAGGCAGACACGTGAGCTACTTCTGCGATTTGTTCACATCCACAAATATTCGGAAGGCAAGGCCTCTCCATATCTGTGAAAGGTCACGACTTGAATGTTCGTAAGTCAGGCACTTACTGTACTTTCCATTATGTCATTTGAAGAGAGATCAAGACGAATGCAGCCTTTTCCTGAACCCAAGAGTCCCATGCATCTTAATTTTCCTTCTATAGGTATCACAAGGAAAAGCCCTATTGGCCTTCTTAGCACATTCTTACCTTTCTGAAGTCTGAACTCCAATAGCTGGCTCAGGTCCCAGACCCTTCTAAGCTCCAGCGAGGACATGCTTACCTTGTATGATGGCCAGGAGGATGACGATCACGAAGAAGAAGAAGGTGATGTCAAAGATGATCCGGTAGATCTCATACTCATCTCCAGCGGGGTCTTCGATTTCATCGCCGATGCCCCCTCCAGCTCGTACCCCCACGTACATGTGGAACATATAGCACTGGAAAAGAGAGCCAGGACCACTTCTGGAGGGGGCCACACGCTTTTTCACGCAACAAACCTGAGGTTCACTCTCTAGCTCTGGCTTTAGACTTGTTCTGTAGTTTGAGCTCCTAATCTCACTCTGCAAACAAGAGACCACCGGCATTCTTTATTGCTCATTTCTGACTTTTTGTTTTAATCCTTATAACTCTGAGGCAAGCACATGTAAATGCACCACAGTCTTTTATTAAAAACACCATCCTTCACATCTTCTGTCTCACTTTTGAGAAAAATGAAAAATACCATATTAGCATCTTGGCTCCAGATGACCTGGGACAATAAGGTATTATGATAACATTAAAGGACATAAAACTAATCTCATTGTGAAGTTATTTTGAACATAAAAGACCTAGGGTAGGGGAAGTAAAAGGCCACGGCAAAACAAGATGGAATCTCAGAGATGAAGCTACTAAAAAAGCACACTTCGTAACACTCTTCTTGCCCTTACTTAGCAGGTATAGAATAATCTTCTTTAGTATCTAGGATAAAGAAGGAAGACAGAGGGGAGACAGAGAGAAACTGACCGATGGTCCACTGGTTAAACTCTGAAATGTGAGACCCACCAAGAACAGCTGCTGGTTGGTGCCTGGTGCAGAAAAAAGTTTGCCACTGGGCAGAGTCCTCAGCCCCAGCACCACTGTGACCTCTACCCTCTAGATATTGAGAGCACCCCATCCAAAAATGACTCTAAAAAGTGTCTTCAGCCAGAGTGGTGGTACACATCTGCAATCCCAGTTACTCTGGAGGCTGAAGAGGGAGCATTACAAGTCTGAGGCCAGCCTGGGCAACATAATGAGGTCCTATTTCAAAACAGAATTTAAGAGCTGGAAATATGTAACTCAGTTGTACACCACACTTGGGTTCAATCCTCAGTATCAAAAAAAGAAGGGAAAGAAAAGTTTTCAAATGCCAAATGTTCCCAGGAGAACAAAGTCACACTGGATTGAGAATCACTGGCTTAGACCCCTCGGTATTTTATGCTCACTCAACATAAGTCCCAATTCCACAGTTCAGGCCTCCAAATCCAGTCTGACACATCTCTAAGTAGTTTGCTCAGGCTCCCCAGTGCTGGTCTCCCTTCTCCCCAGGCATCCTCCAAACACACCATACCTGATCCCAGGTCTTGGCTGGCCTGCATCCTCTGTGCTGTGATGCCCTTTCTACTCTTACCCTGTTCTTCCGCTGTGAGGTCTTAGATTGATCCAGACTGATTTACTCAATTCAGGTGTCACCCAGCAATTCAAAACCTATTTACTTTCTGCCTCCATCATGAAGGAGCAAAGGTCGTGAAACAGCGCCTGACTTGGGGACCCACTGCACGCCCTGGCTGATATATTCCCGGCCTTCCTTCCTACTTCCTGCACCACTCTCCCGTCTTTCCTTATTTTCTTCGCTCTTTAGGAATTAATGCCCTGGGGCTGGCCTTCCGACCTGTTTTCTCTTAAGACCTCTCTTGGGGAACTTTCTCAGCTTCCCAGCTAAGGTATCATCTCTATACCAATTACTGCTAACTCTTCCTATTTCCAGGCCGGGTCTCCTCCCAGAATTCCACTTGCTTGGCTTTGATGGCCTGTCTTGCACCATCAGAATTGGCTCCATTGCAAAAAGAATCCTTTTGGTTACTGTCCTGGTTAAAACAATGTCCAGGGCATGAGAAGGGCTCACAATCATTTGTGCTAAATGAGGAGTGTGACAAGCTGTTTTCACAGGGCCTTCTTATCCTCAACCCACTAACTGCAAGTCCTCGGGCCACTGTAAAAAGCCCAGAGTGTGGGCAAAGAGCAGGCAGCCAAGGGGATACCAGAAAGTTCCTAGCTCAGCTGTGACAGGAGGAGCCTACCCTATGGGTCTGAGGGACACAGGAGAGAAAGGTGTCTTGGGTCAGACGCCAGAAACGAAAGGAGCAGAATTCAACCAAGATGTATCACTCAAAACAGAATGCCCCCCCAGACTCTTATTTTCATTAATACACATTTGCCAGACATAACGATCACATTCCTCCTGAGGAGCTGTACATGTGCACGTAATTGATTCTTCTTTTTTTTCTGTCATCCTCTTCTTTTCCCCTCCCTCCATGTCTTGGTTAGCTTCCCATCTGCTAAAGATCACCCCATTTCCTATGGTCTGTCTTTTATTTTGCTCTCTATTTATATTTTGGATTTCTCATAAAAGACAAACAGTGTAGTACTTAAATTTGTGCATCTGATTTTTCTTACTTAACATTATGGTCTCAAGGTACTTCCACTTTCCTACAAATGACTCCAGTTTATCATTCTTCATAGAATAAATACCACATTTTAGATAACACCACCTTTTCTTTATTCATTCATCGGCTGATTGACATAAAGGTTACTTCTGAGATTTATGTATTATTTAGCAGCTACCATTAGAAATATGAGTATGCATGCATCATTATAATATAATGCCTTTGACTCAGGAAGATACTAGAGGGGAAACAGCCGTGCTAAATTGAATTTCTAGCTTTAGTTTTTGAGAATCCCCTCTACTGATTTCCAAAATGTCCTAGGAGTTTACAATCCCACCAGCCATGTAGAAGGATTGCTTTCCCTTGCATCCTCACCAGTATGTGTTATTAGTCGATTTCTTTCTTTCTTTCTTTCTTTCTTTCTTTCTTTCTTTCTTTCTTTCTTTCTTTCTTTCTCTTTCTTTTTTGTCGATTTCTTTCTTTCTTTCTTTCTTTCTTTCTTTCTTTCTTTCTTTCTTTCTTTCTTTCTTTCTTTCTTTCTTTTTGTGTGTGGAGGTCCTTTAATCTCAATTCATTTCTTATAAAAAAATAAAAAATTCTAACAAATTAATAAGAGAATAACAATATTTAATACACTGCACATCATTATCTTCAAGGTAGTGAAAGCACAAAACATAGAAAAGACTATTTCTTAGAAAGAAGAAACAATAGCATGAAACTTTCTTTTTAAAGAACTGAGAGAAAATAGTAATATTAATAAAACAAATTAGCACAGTTATTGAAATAGTTTTGAACAAAAGAGTAAGTAATTTGGGGAATTTTGGGGACCTCTCCCTACTTCCTATTTATCTCTTATATTTTGGTCTCTTTCTTCAGATACATATTGTTTCTCATATAAGAGAAACCGTGCGATGTTTAAGCTTGCATGTCTGACTTATTTCACTTAACATTATGTTCTCCAGTTGCATCCACTTACCTATGCATGGCTGAAGATTATCCTCCTTCGTGGCAGTATAGTACTCCATTGTGCATAAATACCACATTCTCCTTACCCATTCATAAGCTGATGAATGTGTACACTGTTTCCAAGGTCTCGCTATTACAAATTGTGCTGCTATAAGTGTGTGTGTGTGTGTGTGTGTGTGTGTGTATGTGTGTGTGTGTGTGTCTGGGGAAGATACCTACAAGGAGGACAGAATTGGAATTACCATTTTTACTCCTTTGAGGAATCCTTACAATGACTGCCACTAGTTTATACTCCCACCAACAATGTGAGAGTTTCTATTTCCCCACAGTCTCACCAGCAGTTGTTATTATTTGATTTCTTGATGATGGCCGTTCTTTCTGGAGTGAGATGAAATCTCAATGTTGTTTTAATTTTCATTTTTCTAACAGAGATGTTAAGCCTTTTCTCATGTTTATCGTTGGCCATTTGTACTTGTTTTCCTGAGATGTGTCTATTCATTTCAGCTGCCCATTGTTCTCCTTGGGTCTTTTACTTCGGGGAGGTCTAATTTTTTCAGTTCCTCCTATATTCTACGTATTCATCCTCAGTTTTTTGGCACAGGTGGCAAAAATTTATTCCCACTCTGTAGGTTGTCTCTTCACTCTGTTGATTGTTGCTTTTGCTGTGCAGAAGTATTTAATTTGATGTAATCCCATTTGTGATTCTTAATGTTCTTTTTTGTTTTTTATACCGGGGATCAAACTCAGGACCTTGCACTTGCGAGGCAGGCGGCAGCATCACTGAGCTAAATCCCCGGTCCTCTTGATGTTTTTTCTTATGGAACTGGGGTTTTGTTCAAAAAGTCCTTGCCCACGCCTCTGTCTTCAAGACTTTTACCTACTTTATCATGCAGCTGATAGTGTTTCTGCTGTAACATTTAGATCTTTGATCCATTTATTCAAGGGAGAGTTCTGTGTGCCTCCGCATAATAAACAAAAAGTACCCTAACACTGACCTTGCTGCGCTCACCCTAGAACAATTCTGAGGCCGGTTCAGGCTCTTTCTGGGAGACGAGCCAGAAGCACCCACACACAGAGTCAGACCAGGCCAAGATACCCAGACCTCATTCACAACCCAACTTCCTGAAGGCTTGGACTTTTTCGATTCCGGTGCCACCTACGAAACCCATCCTGGAAAGGAACGTTTTAAAGACAGTTACAAAACATTTCCCTAGAATACTGAATTGATTCTCAAAGTCAGTGCTTAAAACTATAAATGGCAGTTTGAATTCTTCTGCCACATATATTTCTTATTTTTAATTAAGAAAAAAATGGATTCACATGTTCGCTTCCGATCTGGGTCTTCACATGTGCTCCGTCAGAGCCACAGAAACAGGAGGGCTAGTTCTTTCCCTCAGGCTGTGAGCTGATGAGCAGAAGCCTTTCCCGCTTCTGTTTCTCCGGCTTCATTCCATACGGCTCTGGGACGGAACCCCCTCTTCAGGCTGGGCACTCAGGACGGGCAATCCGCTTGCCTCTGGCCCGGCACAGCTCCACGCCAAACCCCATCACACGGTCCCAGTCCAGCTCACCTCCCGCCCCACCTCAGGTGTGGCAGGACTGGTGACCACCACTCAGCTACCTCCTCTTCCTGACTCCCGCTGACCAAGGCTCTGGATGAAGTAGGATGTTGGTAACCTGACTTATACACTACACTTGCGGGAGGCTGGTTACTCCAGGAGTTTCTCCAAAAGACATGATTCACTTTTAGCTTCTAATACAGAAAGTGAAAGGTAAGACCGTGGGAT